CAGGAGAATTGCACCATCATGGAAATGTAATTTTTTCCACACCATTCCACTGAAATGCAATTTTCCCAAGTTTTATTTGATAGGGTTTGTATGCCACGAAAACTTTCCATATTTTCATTAATTGTAAGATTGGTTTAGCAATTGCTTTTTTTAAGTAGGTTTTTATGCTTGGTAATTTTTTGCTAGTGAAAAAGTTGTGTGGATCTTTAACTTCTTTTTTTTTATAAAATCAATTATTGACTTTTTTTAATCAAAAACAAAAAAGTTGCTTCTTTTTTTTTTGGCACTTAAATAGCCAAAAATGAATTTTTTTAATTGAAACCAAACATAGCCTCAGTCTCTAGCTTTCTTTCTTGTGCCAAATGTGTGATGATGGTTAGTGTTTTGGATATGTTTGTCTTTTCCATCCAAATATTCATATATTTAAAGGGAATTGTAAATTAGTGAGAAGTAGAAAAACAATAATAAAAACATTGATGAATAATATGCCTTATTTGAGGGACTTCTTGTTGCTAAGACAAACCCCTTTTATGGCTGTCACCGAACCTGTTAGATTCACTCCTTATCTCGTGCTGCATATTTGTCTCGAAGTTGTGAAAATTAGGATGAACAGTGGATATATTGATCTGTCAAAATCGATCGAACCGAACCGATCCGCTACATTTTAGATGGATGCGTGATGATGAGCGGATGGTTGCGGATTGATTTTCTCCAATCCGCCAATTTGGCAGACAGATGGCGGATTTGAGATTCCTTTGGCTGCAACCGAACCTCCAAATCGCGAGCACCCTAATAATTTATAAGATTTTATGTTTTCAATTTGTTTAAATATTTTGTTTGTATTTTCAATTGAAAAAGAATTTATATTCTATTGAAAAAAAGTTTTCAACTTGAATATATTTTTTGAATTGAAAAAAATAAACATATTATTTATCTATATTTTTTGGTTTTTAAATTTAACTCTAAAAATAATAAATAGAAAATATGATATATGCTGGTTGACTTTTGTTTTCAAAAACATATATAGATGTAACAATATAGAGATATACAATCTCAACTACTGCTCTGTTCATGATTTGAATTGTTGTTATATTTTAAAAATCACAGATTGTAATACTTTATATGAATGAATCATGCTGTGATTGTAATATGTGGATGAGGCATGCAGTGATTGTAATATTCTAAAGTTTCAAACTTTCTTTTTTTGGATGAGGCATACAGTGATTGTAATACTTTTTCTCAGTCTCTAGCTTTCTTTCTTGTGCCAAATGTGTGATGATGGTTAGTGTTTTGGATATGTTTGTCTTTTCCTTCCAAATATTCATATATTTAAAGGGAATTGTAAATTAGTGAGGAGTAGAAAAACAATAATAAAAACATTGATGAATAATATGCCTTATTTGAGGGGCTTCTTGTTGCTAAGACAAACCCCTTTTATGGCTGTCACTGAACCTGTTAGATTCACTTCCTCCTTATCTCGTGTTGCATATTTGTCTCGAAGTTGTGAAAATAGGAACAAATCCAAACAACCCCTATATTTGTGATTTTTTTGGTTTTGTTTTCATTTTTCATTTGTTTGTTTTTTCTCGGATCAATATGTGTAATAGACGTGGAATGAGTGGAAGTAACCTGATTCACTTTAATTAGTTGGATAAATACAAGGTGAGCCCTTCTCATCTCTTTTGCCGAGCTAGGTTGAATACTGAATTGTTCAAAATTAATTTAAAATTTTAGCAAGTTCAAAAAATATAGTCAAACTTGATTTGTTTATTTTTTTAACTAGTAAGTATTAATCTAGCCAATATAGCTCGAGTAGTTTATTTTTTTTTTTAAATATATTTTATAATGTATATAAATTTATTGATCCGAGTTCAAATCGAACTAAAAAGTTTAACGAATTTCAAAATATGTTCAAATTCAACTTGTTTACATAATGAGTTAATCTCAAATGAACTTGTAGTTAGCCAATCACAAACCGAGCTTAAGCAATTTAATTTGTTCCACAATCCTATATATATAGTCTCATTGATTGAAAGCTCTATGTAAATGTCATATAATCTTGGGAAATTATCAAATATTTTTACATATTTATGAAAAGGAGAGAAAAAATACAAAAAGAGGTGAGTTAATGCAAGAGGCTAAGAAGGAGACAGAGTCATGTGAGAGTGAGAGGATAGTCACATTAAGTGTGAGGTAATAGTGCAAAGAAAACAAACTTGAAAAGAAGGCAAAAGCTTCTTCTTTATCAAGACACCACCCCTTTATTAGGTACCTTACGTTCCAATTCATGTTAGGTCACCACCACCATGTGTGTATGTACTAGCTACTAGCTTAGGTGGAGATTATTCTCATAATTGAAATCACAAGCACAAAATTAGTTTCCTTCATCTCAAAGTTCACTATGACTTGGAATGAAAAAGAGTGTCGTTTAAGGAAAAATAAATAAACTTTTTCAGTGCCCCACATTAGCTATCACCATATTCATTATAATTACATTCATTTAATGTTGCACTTATTATTCCAAATGGGATTGTCTTTTCTCCAATTAATTGGAAGAATCAAGCTTGTTTTTTCAGTCCATGGCGTCTTTGGTTACATCATTTTTTAGTTTAAAAATCAAATAATTATTAAAAAAAAAAATTTAAAAAACCAATTAATTATATAAAAAAATCAAAAATTATCTTTTTTCTCTACTTTTTATACTTTTTTTTTTGTAAAATATAATCTCAAAGTTCACTATGACTTGGAATGAAAAAGAGTGTCGTTTAAGGAAAAATAAATAAACTTTTTCAGTGCCCCACATTAGCTATCACCATATTCATTATAATTACATTCATTTAATGTTGCACTTATTATTCCAAATGGGATTGTCTTTTCTCCAATTAATTGGAAGAATCAAGCTTGTTTTTTCAGTCCATGGCCTCTTTGGTTACATCATTTTTTGGTTTAAAAGTCAAATAATTATTAAAATTTTAAAAAAAAAACCAATTAATTATATAAAAAATCAAAAATTCTCTTTTTTTCTCTACTTTTTATACCTTTTTTTTTTTGTAAAATATAAAACGTTATTCCAAATATATTAATTTTTTTTATCTCATATTTTAGTCAAAAAATTAAAAAATTACAAAAATAATATATTCCCAAACGAGGCCTAAGTGTGGATTGGAAGGTGTGGTTTCTATGACAGTGGACTTCTCTTAGTAATCCAAACCAATCAAATTAATCAGATGTCAATATCAAGATGGAAGATTTATATTTGTATGAGAAAAATAAATGGTCTACATTTTAAATCATACTTGCCCATTTTTTATTTTTATTTTTGAAAAGAAATGTAATTCAATTAGGTAACTGTTAATGTCTAATCAATTTGATTTTTTGCATTGATGATTTGCTTAATGAGTCATATTGATTAAATGGTTTAAATTATCAAGATGAACTCAGAGTAGACCCACAACGATGAAAAGTGAAATTTTTTTGACTGGAGCTCGATGGGGACGAGCCTCTTTCTAATTGGAAGTCCAGTTCAATTTTCTATAGAGACGATGAACTTCATAACACTACGATCTGCTGTGAAATTCATTGACTTTCTTATAGAAATTTGGACTAGATCTCGAAAAAATTAAGAAAGAAATTGACTCTTTATCAAATAATCTATATGAAATTTGATTTTTTTTTAGTTGACTAGAGGTCGAGTATAGGTTTTAGTCAAAAACTAGTAGATCTCACAAAATTGGGTCAAAAAATTGGAGAGAAGTTAACTATCTAATATTAGTAATATTATTTTATTAAACAGTTGATTGTCCAACGATTTAGTTTCAAAAATCTTACTTAGAGCATAATAAAAAATAATAAAACTTAGTATGCCACCTTGTCACCTACCAAAGGGAAGAGAATTTATTGTAATTTGCAACATTGGAAATGCTAAAACTAAGAGGATTTGTTTATCTTACACCCTTTGGACTTTAATACATTATAAAAAGGTGTAATGTGTAAACAATTTTGTTGAAGAAAAGATGTTGAAATAAATTAATTAGTAAACAGCTAGGCACATTCAGGTCCATGTGACAGTCTGATAAGAAGGTGAGGCAAACACGTCCTTAGCTGTTGGCTGGGCATCATGTCCCATGACTTGCTTGCTAGTTAATGCAAGGTGTACACCTAAACAAATAATTTTATTTAAAATAAAAAATTAGATAATGAGCATGTGTTTTTGTTGTTTGTTATTTTTTTATGTTTAAAGCTACTGAAATAAAATAAAAACAATTAAAAGTCTGAACACCTCATTATTTTTATTTTTTTGTATAAAAATAATTTTTAATTTATTTGAAATTAACTTCTTGTGTTTCTTAAGAAGAAGGTTGTTTTCAAAGCAATCTTTGATAATACTAATGAAAATAATTCACCAAACAAGTTTTGTATTTTTTTACAAAATGAAAATAAACAACAAAAAATAAAAATACAACCAAACAAATTAATTACATTTTCTCAAGAACAAACCCTAAAGATTACATTTTCTTAGAAAATCATTCCTCACCTGTTTGGTTGTATTTTCATTTTATTTTTATTTTTTGTATTCATTTTTATTTTTTAAATTTTTTGATAAAAAATTAAAAATCTATATATACATATTTAATGTGAATATTATTTTCAAAAATTCTAAAATAACTTTTTTGATATTTCTTAAAAAAGTGAATTCGAGCAAGGCAGTTGTCCAATAATTTAGGGACTATGTATCCCGCGCTCATGAAGGGTTCAAGCCCTAGCATCCCCATAGGTAGATAATAATATTGATGTTTTTAAAGTACTCCAAAAAAAAAATGTTAATTCATTTTAGAAAATTTTCTTGAAAATAGTTTTTCGAAAAAAACAAAAACACAACCAAACATGAGAATTTGACCATTAAAATGAAATCAAACTGAGAACCATATATTCAATTTTCTCAAACTGGGCTTACATAGTCTCGTTCATTCAACAACATCAACCTAACATATTGCCAACCAAACAAGAAAACACAAACATACTGGCATATATAACCTTTAGATCCATATAAATTTTGAATAACAAATGCTGAAGAACACAACATTTGTGTAAAAAAAAAAGAGCTTCAATTACACTCACTTTTACGGCGACTTAAGATCGAACTAATACATTTTTAAGTCGAAATAAAATTACACGTCCCGCGAAAACAACCAACATACATTTTGAACAATTACATGGCAAATCGAAAGGAAATAGATATAGCTCACATCGTCTGTCTGTCTCTTCTACGCTGCCAAGAGACCATGCTGGATAGCCTATCAAATATGCTTTCTTGTTTTCGTTATTTTTGTTTTCAATGTTGTCGTTGAACAGTTCAATGCTTTGTATGCCTCTCAAGGACTTCGAAGTAGTCAGGGAATGTTTTGCGAGTGCAACCCGGATCCTTGATGGTGACAGGAACGTCTGCGCAGGCAGCGAGAGAGAATGCCATGGCCATTCTGTGATCATCATATGTATCTATTGCTGTAACATTTAGTTTTTCTGGTGGGGTGATCACACAGTAGTCGGGCCCTTCCTCAACTGTTGCTCCTAACTGAAATTTAAATCCATTGCAGTAAGATTAAAAATGTCATAAAATTATATAAGATTTTTTTTTTTTTTTTGAATATTTATGATGTCACTAGATTCTCATACCTTTCTGAGTTCTGTGCAAATAGCTATCATTCGTTCAGTTTCCTTCACTCTCCAGCTAGCCACTGAAAGAAGATAAACCAGTAGACCCACGATTTAAACATGGTATTTGTCTAGGAGAAAACAGAAAATAATAAAACTTCAACATGATAAATTGGAAATGAGCATCTTTAACGAACAGCATATTAACCGATACTTTATGAGGAAAGAAACTCGGTTCTCGGATTTTTTGCTAAGATCAAAATGTCAACTTCAAAGAGAGAAACTCCTTCAAAAATATAAACTTTTACATACTAGGCTAACGTAAAAATTTAATTTCAAACCCTAAACAATCGAGATGATTCATTGAATTAAATTTAAAACATGAACAATCACTATGCAGCTATGCAGCTACATTAAGTTTGATAAGGGAGAATAGAAAAGAGGGCGGAGAAAAAAAAAAGGAAAAGAAAACGATTTTTTCCAAAAAAATTTCTTTTCTCACATCAAGTGGGAACCAGAGGAAATCAAGTAACAGGTTAAGTATTAGACAAGCTTTGTACATAGAAACAATTGACAAAAATAGCATGTAAAAAAAAAATACAATGCAAAGCTTACAAAGTGGGCCATGGTTTCTAATGAGTCAGTATTGAACTTCAAACAAATAACCAAACAATGGCTATATGTATATATGCACCACGTAAATGGAATTTTATATGTATCTATATCTCATATTCTTATATTCAAACAAAAAGCTATCTATGAAGCAAGGATCAAAACTTTGTTTCAAATAGTATGGAAACAAAAATGTTTCAGCAGCAGAAAAGAAATGAGTTAAAAAATTTGAAAACGTTTGAACATATTTGGAAACAAAAACTAAAACCTACATAAATGTTAATACATTCTAAATATTAAATAATTGGTCATGTTGAGACCTATGAATAATAGAAACTCAAACAAATAAGTCAAAGGTTTAATTGGGGAAGAGAGAATATTTTTAAAAAATGCAAAATTCTAAAGTAGTAGGGATAAAAAAATTGACTTAATCATGCTTGTTTTACCTTCTTTCTATCTCTCCTCTTCCTCTATCTAGTTTCTCAATTCTTTAATAAATTCATTACTTAACAAAAGACAAATAGAAATGAGCATTGTTAAGTATCCTTAATATGTGTCAAAACAACTCATTTGTTTTTGTATGTTTCGTGGAGTATTGATGTATTTTGTTATGTTTTAATGGAAACATTAAAATGTTGGTATTCCACTAATGTTGAGTTTTGGTTTACTAGAAAACAGAAATGTTCTGGCCATCACAATGGGAAAAAAAACAAAAAAATTGTTCCTTGTTGTGAAGTACATAACCAAGAAATGGGAATTTCTCAGATCTGGAAATTAGACTAGTTCTTTTTAAATCACATTTTTCACAAACAAAAAGCCAAATCATACCATCTCTAATAGTAGTTACACCGTCAGCAAAAAGAGCAATGACAGCAAGAGTCATGGCAACATCTGGCATCTTGTTCATATTAACATCAACGGCACGTAGGCGTTTTCTTCCAAAAGAATTCCGGGGTGGCCCCGTGACAGTCACACTGTTCTCCGTCCAGGTAACTTTTGCGCCCATTTTCTCAAGAACCTCAGCAAATTTAACATCCCCCTTGATTGAAAGAAAAGACGAGAAAAAAAAAAATGTCGGCTTTGATTTAAGTTACAATACATAACAAAGATATGTAATTTACAAGACATTATAAACATATGTACAGTTAAAAATCATCTGAAAAATAGGTACAAATGTGAATTTGGGCACTCATTTGCAAATTGCAACAGAAAATTACAAGGAAATCAAGAATTAATAGCTAGGCATATTTGCAAATTGCAACAGAAAATTACAAGGAAATCAAGAATTAATAGCTAGGCATCATCACCAAGCTGGAAAAAGAAGCATAATTAATTAGGAAAGAGGATATTTGTGGATCATTCACACACAAGAAATTTCGGGGCTGTTTGGGGTGTCCTAAATAAGTGCACATTTTGTCTTTTTGGATTAAAAAGTTGAGGAAAAAAATATAGATGTTTGGGTTAACTTTTTGACTTTTTATAGAAAAATGTGTATTAAAAAATTATATAGTTTGTAGGGAAAGATTAAGATTGGGAGTTGTGCAGCCTACTTTCTGGGCAGTTCAATTGAGGCTAAGAAACGATTAGGTACTGTTTGGGCAATGCACTGGACGGTTTTGTTTGGCCCGTGGGGGCCATCATGGGTCCTATTTTGATAATCTGAACCGTTTAACATGTAAAAATCGTCGAGTACTATACGCCTATAAAAAATCACGTTGATCGGATATCGATAGCTATCTGATCAGATTTGTTTTTTTTCAATCGTTAATTATAACACCATCCATTTTTTTTCTACAAAACTGATTTGATCATATAGTTATCGGAGTTCTATACATTGAACGGTTCAAATTATCAAAACGGGACCCGTGATGGGCTCCCATGAACCGAACAGCAGTGTGTGAAAATTGCACCAAACTGTGCAATTTTTCTTTTCAAACGCAGCACAGGGCTTCATGGGTCAATGGATGAGTTGTACGGCTGTGTGAATTGATGTGTAAAAATTAATTTTTTAACATTTTTTTTAGTGAATAGTGATAACTTTTTAACTTTTTAAGTAAATTTTTGACTTTTTGGCTTTTTGGCTTTTTGGGGAGATGCCAAACTTGGCCTAAATATTCTAATAGATGATTAAGAGGCCAACCATCAACAAATTACAAATTACTTATCAAAAAAATGTTAAATTATTTATTAGGGTAAATCACACTTTGCCCCCTTTATGAGTGGTCACTTTTTTATTTTGGCCTTAAAGTTTGTTTTTTTTCACTTTGACCCTTCATGTTTTAAATTCTTCTCAGTTTACTCCCAAAGGTAATTTTTGTTAAAAATTTAACAGAAAATAACACATTGAAAATCACGCGGTATAAAAATATTTTATTATATATTTCACACATCTGACATAAACTTAAACCTTAATATAATAATATATTTTTTATATTATGTGACAGTATTATGGCATTTTTTGTCTAATTTTGAACAGAAGTTAATTTCGGGAGTAAATTGGAAAAAACTTGAAACCTAAAAAGCCGAAGTAAGAAAAAATGAACTTTAAGGGCCAAAGTGAGAAAGTGATTAAACATAAAGGGGGCAAAGTGTAATTTACCCTATTTATTAACAAAATTCAATTTGTTTTATAAGAAAAATCAATTTGTATACTGGTGTGAGCAATACCTGTAAACTGCTTGTGCCACAACCTTCAACAGTGATGGTCCCACCAGTAACGGCAGCACCGCCTAGAAAGTAACTAGCACTTGAAGCATCGCCTTCGACAAAAGCTTTTCCAGGAGACCTGATGAATTTTGCATTTTATTCAAATGCAACAAAGTTTTCACAAATGGGTACAACAATTTCTTGCAAACGAGGCTTACTTGTACTTTTGACCTCCGCGGATCAAGAATCTATCCCAGCTATCAGTGTGCTCTACAGAGACTCCAAAGCGTTCCATCAACTTCAAAGTCATTTCAACATAAGGTATAGAAATAAGTTTATCAATAATCTCAATCTCCACGTCTCCTAGAGCCAATGGAGCTGCCATGAGCAAAGCAGTCAAGTATTGACTACTAACTGATCCGGAGAGCTTCACCTGCAAAAGGATCGACAAAAAAGGAGGATTAGTGATAATAAATTTTATTCTGTTATTATGAACCATATCATCCAGAGACTCGATGTAGGGGTAAGCCAAAAAAAGTGGCAAGCTTCAGATGAACACATATTGTAAAAGAAACTAGGCTCTAAATAAGAAGGTTACAATAACATATGAAACCCTCCGATATTAACAGTTAGAAGTTGTAATATTCAAGTATGAATTTTATTCCCATAAAAGTCAGCATGCTTTACAATCTGCAAAGGCAGTTGTTTTCAATTTTTCATCTAGAAAAGGTTGAATTACAGGAATTGTCCCTAAAGTATACCACTAATTTCATTTTGGTCCCTAATCTTTAATTGGTATCAATTGCATCCCAACACTTCACACATTTATTCAATTTAGTCCTTTACCTTAACTATCAACTTAAAAACATGCAAAAAATGTTTATGTCGGTCTTATATCAAGCATTTGAAAGGCAATAGGAGAAATTTTTCTCAATTCCTACCTAAATAAATTGCAAGGCACATGAAATGCACATTATTTATGAAACAAAACATATCAAAACCTTTCAGTCCATTATTGCGGGCCTAACGTTTTTGGGTATTCGATTGATAATATTTCGCATAATTAGATATGTTAATATGTCATTTGTGCCCTTCAATGCTTGACATGAGTCTGACCTAAGTATTTTTCATCTGTTCTTCAGGCAACAATTAAGGGAAGGAACTACATTGAATTAATGTGTGAAGTGTAAGGATGCAATTGATACAAATTCGAGATTAGGAACCAAAATGAAATTCATGGTATACTATAGGGATTATTTGTGCAATTTACCCTCTACAAAATTATATATCAACCTGGTGTAAGCCTTATTGGCCAAAACCTTTGCACCTCACAAGGAGATCAAGGTTACAAGTCTTGTCATAAACAAGACTACCCCCTCCCCATGCTACAACCTCCAATGTATCAACAAAAAAAAACTTTATATCAACAGAGTCAAGTAGAACACATGTTTTGTGATGAGTCATACAAAGTACTAGAAGTGCCTAATGGGTAAAAACCCAAACCACAAGCACAGTGTATAAGAGAACAAACAGAAGAAGAAAGCCAAAAAACACAAAACTATAAAGCATACCAACTACTCAAACGCCCTAAACAAACTCAACAAAAACCTAGAGAAACCGAATCCCTTGTTAAAGTAAACAAAACAAAGAATCAACATAATATGCATCAACATATACAGCAATATCTCTACCCCTCAATCAAATGCATCAATATATGATCACATGGTCTAATAGGTAAGAAGTTATCACAAGTACCTTTTTTTAGATACTTCTTATTAACCATTCTTAATAAAGCAAGTAAAAAAAAACAAACCCTCAATTTTTAAGTAACAATAATGTTGACATTTGGACAATGAGTACCTTTCAAAGTTACTTTAACCTTAAACACCTTTAAAAGATATATTATGATATTTTTTAAAGGAAAAAATGAGAAAGAAAAGGTTAAAAACATGTTGGGTCTAACTAAATACGATTAAAAATCATATTAAAAACTCCCTAATCACCAAAATAACAACAAATCATTTATACATATTGGTTATTATCGTACTAGACACTATTAAAAGTTATATTATCTCATTCTTACTAAAAAGAGGGAGATATAAAAATAATCGAAATATGTCAGACATGCTAGTTTCAATAATTGTATGAACCGTAAAAAGTGAATCAAATCAATTGTGAATCGTGCAATTCACCATAAATTGACTTCCAAAATAGATTCACCTATAAATTCATATCGATTTTGCAAAAAATTGCAAATTGAATTGTAAGATTTTGATAACAGAGCATGTGATGGTTAATTGGAATTCAATCACGGATGGTTAATTGAAAGATAAGCCATACAATATAAATACCATGTTCAACATCAAAATATCAATGCTAAAGTAAATGAAAAGCTCACCTTTCCCCCAGGAAGACCACCCTTTCCAACTACACGGACAGGAGGACAGTTTGTACCGAGAAAACAATCAACATCTGCACCAAGCTGCTTAAGACCTGTGACCAAGTCACCAATTGGTCTCTCTCGCATCCGGGGAACCCCATCAAGAATGTAGCTAAAAGCAATTCAAAACGGTATAAAGGTGTTAGTTTTAATTTTTAAAGGTCATAAAAAGTGAACCAATAAAATGTAAACATTAAACATCTCTAAGACAAAGTGATGTACACCATATGATACATCACGAGGCACTCTCAAGTCAAATGCCAACCTATTAGGTGGAATAAAAGGTCACATAGGTGCCACAAATAATAACAAAAAGGCATAGTGATTTATATATTAAAAAATTCCATCATATCAAAACTTGGAAATTTTGGTATATAAAATTTTTGTTAGGTAAAATGTCATAACTGATCTGCATTAAATGCTGGTCCCAAACTTGTGTCACAGTGCTTCTGTCACATGCCATGTGCATTGTAGATCAATTAACACGAGTAAACTTAATTGAAGATATGACTTCAAGTCAAACTCATTGAAGGATATGGATCCATGCACCCAACCCCAAGTAACCGGGACAAAGGCTTGTCGTGTGAATGTTAAGAAATATTCAATTTTATGTCAAACAAAATTCCAAGTTATAGCTAAAATGAAAGTGATATGAAAGGTGTCTAGCAAAGAGCGGGCATCATATTATTCCCACTAAAACATTGAAAGGATTTCAGTTATTAGCATAACTTTGTTCAAAAACAACTTAGACAGACCTTGAATTCCCACCAGCAGCAGTTACTGCTGCTGTCAATGGACGCATTGCTGTTCCTGCATTACCCAGGAAAAGATGAACTTCATCCCTTGATTCTTTACCCACAGGGAACAGACCACCAGAACCTTCTACTACGGCCCGTTTGTTTTCACTATCTTCTTCCACATGTAGCCCAAGAGTTCTCAAAGCACCAAGCATGTAATGGACATCATCACTGTTCAACAGGTTGTCCAGGACAGTTGTTCCCTAAAAAATAAGAAATGTAACATATATTATTAAGCAATCAATTAAGATCCTGGGCAAACATATACAAAAACACAAGTGATATATATATATATATATGTATATGATAGTTATATAGAAAAGGCTCAATAATTAGTTAGTGACAATTCACTTTAAGGGGACATATTTAAAACAAAAAAATAATAATGCACTTTCTATCACTTGATAAAATCAAATAAAAGAAGGGAAAAAAAAATGGAAAGAATGAAAGCAAAGAAATTCCTCTAAAATCAAAAAATGATGAATTTAGAAAATAATCATATAAACAAAACTCCAACCATCATCAAGAACATATTGAATAAAAACAAAAATAAATTTTTTATTGATATTTTTAGGCCCTTCTAGTCTATAAGAACCTCAAAAGTAAAAATTATATAAAAAAAAAAAAAAAAGATTCACTGAAGACAGAAAAGATAACTGGGGAAAAAAAACAAAAAACAAAAAAAAAAAGAGAGAGAAGAAGAATAAATTGGCTTAAAAGTTGTTGCCAAACGTGAGACTTGTTAACTAATTCTCACAAATGCTACTTCAACCATCCTGAAGAGACCGCATATTGGATCAATACTTTTAGTTCTAGGTAGCATGCTAGAATCATGGTTTGTCAGCATTAGACAAACGTACTGCAGTTTAAATAAATCTTAGCACTTAAGCTTTACCCAGCTTCAATTGGCCCATCTTGGTATCCTTGCTTGTCTCTCTACCTAGTAGCCAAGAAATTTTACGAATCAATTACGGCCAGATAACGCTTAATAGTGATACGTTACACAGCATAAATTGGCCAAGCATTCAGTTCTCTGTCCACCTTTTCCGATACCTAGGCAATTTTTTCCGAAGTGAGCATTAACAAATTTTTAATTTATGGTTCTCCAAATTCATTAATATTTTTATAGTTACATTCTATGAATTCTTCAAGTTCCTTTGGAAATAAATATAGTCTACCTTTGACGCACTTTTAGGGGTAAAACAAACCATTCCAATGCTATCATTTAAAGTTTTGTTTTGATATTCTCTTCCTAAGATTTATTTACCTCCTGTAAAAACAATTAGGTGTCAGTTCCTGTGGTCTGAAAATTGACAAAGCTTTCGCTATCAACCTCTAAAGACACCAATAACATGTACAAACTTTTGTATCTGGGAATTATAAGATGAAACTTTTCAAGTTCCAAAACATTTGACATATGATTTACTTCCATGAGCTCCGTATCATTTTAAAAGAATAAACTGAAAATGCAAGGCTTCGTGTAGGCCTCCTACTATGAAGTGCAAGCAAGGTTCTGAAAAGCGGTTGCGGTCGCCGTAACGGTGGCGGTGACGCGGTTGCGGTTGCGGTTGCGGGGTGTAAAGGCCGTAGTGCATCATTTACTTCCATCAAATGCATGCACTCCAAGTAATATTAAAAAACACCAAACTGACAGTGCAAGGCATGCAATTATGGAAAACAGACTAAATCACAGACTTTCAAAGCTTCAGATTTTATGTAAAACAAAAACACAATAAGACCATTAAAATTCCACAGGACACCCAAAAGCAGACTAGATTAATACCTAAACTCAATCATCCTCATCCAAATGTGCATGATCATCACTTTTGAGTTACACAAAAACACAATTTTCAACCTTTTGTGAAATTTCCATAACTAACATTATGTTCTTTCTACATAAATACATGATACATACAGTTCTCTCAAAACCAAATATGCTGCATCTCAAATTTAAATTCTAAAAGCACCAAATTTCAATTACACTCCGTTCTGATCACAGGCTGAGAAAAAAAATGAAATGATTTTCATTTCTCATCTAGGTATATATGTTTTGTCACTATCATATTTAGATGGAAAAGAAAGCAAAGTATATAATATAGTGATATGGGTAGAATTTCTTTTTCTTTCTTCATATTTTAATGGGTAATATCGGTATTACGAAAAATTTACAACTAATCAACTTATTTCTCACTAAATCACATCACATTTGGTAAAAAAAATGAAAAGAGAGTTCTCTTTACTCTTTCTAACCATTTCTTATGGTTTCTCAACAATTCTCACCTAACTTATAAACCAAACATGATTAATTAGTTCTCTTTCTCTTCATTTCTCACCAAATCACTCAATTAATTATATTCTTTTTTTTTGGATAAGTACAATTAATTATATTCATCAAATAAAGAAATCACAGAATTTAGACAAATACCCAAAACCCCAAATGAGCAATCCTAAACTACAATCATAATTCAAGAACACCAAAAAATAGAAATTGAAAATTTATGCACCTCAGAAAGGGCAGCAAGAAGGAGAATCCGATTCGACAGTGATTTCGAGCCCGGCAATTTAACGATGCCGGAGATCTCTTTGATGGGTTGCAACACGATCTCGGGTGACATTGAGGGTTTCTCGGCGGTGGCAACTGAAGCTGAAACCCTTAGTGGAGCTGAATGGTTCTTCACAACCCTTGCATAGCTCAAACACAGTGAATTCTCTGAACCCTTCTTTAGTTTTGATCCAAAAAGTAGAGAACCCAGAAAAGGTTTGTGATTATTATGGGTTTTGGGTAAAGTGGGGTTGCGATGGGAGCCATAGATTCCACTGGAAAGTTTGCTAACTTGCGCCATTTCTTCCTCTCTTTTTTTCTCTCTCTCTCTTTCTCTGTTTCTCTCTCTAGATTGATGTGTTATAAATGGGAAGAAGAAAAGGTTGGTGGCAATGGAGGGTGAGAATTTGAGAGTTTTGGGAGTTTTAAGAGAGAGGCGTGTTGAGTTGTTGTTCAGGGTTTACCTACCAAAGAAACCGAACCCAGTTGGGGTTTGGAGGGGATGCGCACGTTAACCATTGAATCCTCCTGTCATGTCTCTTACCAACCCATTTTTTTATTTTTTATTTTTTTATAGGTAAATTAAATTCTTTAATATTTAAAAAAAATATAATAAATTTGATAATTTTGACATAATTATAGTAATTTTCTTTTTAATAAGTTAAATTGAGATTATGATGCAAAAATACAAAACTAAAAATAACGTAAAGTATAAATTTTTATGTAAAAATGATAACAACATTAAAGGAATCTTAATATAATTATATTAGAATTGTATTTTTTTTTGAAATACCAAAGAAATCAGGGTAATTTACACTTATTCATTCTTTTTCTTTTTGGATGGCCAATTCAATTTTGTTGAAAAATTTGGGAGAAAAAAATTACTTTAACATATTATCAAACTTGTATCATATCAAAATTTTTGACCAAATTAAAATTAAAGTAAGAATAAAATTTTGACCAAATTTAATGAAAACATTTTTTAATGACAAATTTGAAATTTTTAAAAAGTATTGATAAAAACTTTTAAGCAAGTGAGAATTGAAGAATTCAATTATTTTTATCAGATCAAACTTTCAATCAAATTTGATGAAAGTTGTTGGAACATTTCCTATCAAATTAAGCTTTTACTCAAATTTAATAATAACAACAAAAAAAAAAAGAAAAAAAAAGATGAATGATTGGAGACCTAATAGAAAGTTTATGAAAATTTCAATCATGTAAATGGAATATCCCATAAAAAAATGGAATAAAAAATATAGAAAGTATGAAATTCTAATGGAATTTTACATTTTACTTATGGAATTTTAAAAGGTTGATTATATCAAGATGTTCTTGAGTTATTTACACTACGGCCTCACAAATTATAAAAATATACAAATAATTGTTGAGAAATATCATTTTGATCCTTTAATTTATAAAAACGTATAAATAGAATCCTAAGTTATTGTTGTATTTCACATTGACCTTTTCCGTTATTGTACCATGAGTTAAACCAAGCTTTTGATATTTTTTTAGACAAAAATACCCTTCAACACTTTATATAACACCCAGCAACATTTTTTTCTCAATTTTTCTCTAGTCTCTCTCCCTAAACCTCTTCCTCTCCATAATTCACCAAACACTAAAAAAATAGCATCTAGTAACAGGACAAGCTCAAACAAGAAAGAAATTACATCCAATAGCTAAGAGCATCTCCAATGTTATTTGTTATAATACCATAGCCATTGCTATAATTTGGCATTGGCAATGAATAGTAGTAATTTGCCAAATTATAGCAATGGTACTCCAATGGTACAAATGCTATTTTGACAAATCTCAACAAACTTTCTAAGTTTGTAGGTGTTGTTGTTTGGATATTGGTTTTTTAGTGATTTTTTTTTTTGGACCTTTTTTTTAATTGTTTGTAAAAAAAAAAAATTATATATTTACATTATACCCGACTAGACAAATATAAAAAATGAAAAAAAAATTGAAAATTGAAAAAAAATTAAATATAATTCACCCCACTAAAAAACAAACCACTAAAAAAAAAAAAGAAATTACATTGGAACATAAAAAATACTCAAAATTAAATGCACCACTACATTACATTGCAAAATAAAAATGAAATTGCAAATAAAGACTAAAAATTACGTTAAAAAATAAATGACATTGCAAAATTAAAAAATACATTCTCCCGTAATTATTCATCAGGAGGCAAGGGAAAATAGAAATTTGGGTTGCTAACATTTGCGGACCACTTGACGAAAATCTCATTTTTTCGCATTATTAAATACGCTTTTGTCTGATGGTTCAAATGAGAATACCCGTAGTCATTATCAAATGTTCTTCCTTTTTGATCTCGTGTTCTTGTCTTTTGATCTCAAGTTCTTTCACCTCCTGTAGTGCTTGAAGCATTTTTTCTTCTCTTTTAGCTTTTTTCATTTCCTTCTCAGCGAGATGTTGGTTAAATGTCTCCAACACATTGCTAAATTTGTGGACTTCAGCTTCAACAACTTGATTTCCCTGAAATAATTCTTTTGCAGCTTTCCTACCCATAGGCCTTTTACTCCTTGTAGAGATACTACCCTCATCGATTGGATTATTACCAACAGTTTGGATTGTTACCAACACTTGGATTGTTGTCATCTTTAAGAGAAAATGCAGTCATCCATAGGGGAATCGGGGGCTGAATTAGGGGGAAAACGATGTATGTATCATTAACTTCACTGTATTCGTAGGAGTTATATCTTGCCACCTGATATTGTTTTGCAAGATTGGCAAACAATGTTCAAAAGAAAAAAAAAAATTCTTTTCATCTTGATGGTATAAAAGTTTTGCTTGAAACATTTATATCAATAAAATATTAAATTAAGTAATTAGTTAATTTTTATATGAGACGAAATAAAAAAAAACTAACATAATAAATGAAGATGAAATCTTACTATATCAACTTGAGATTGGGTGTAGATTTTTTGCTTGCGTTAAACACCCACGAAATTTGTTGCAACATTTCATGGTTACACCTCATTGAGATGATATAGATACTTGTGTTCTTAAGTGATCATTCTACAACGAACAATAATTTTCAAAAATTCTTCCCCAAAAATGAGCATGAGATTGCGAATTCCTAATAATTGGGCCTTTAGTAATGTGACACCAAGCTCAACAAATTGCCACATCTTCTTGAGTGATAAATGATTTTCCTCTCTTTATTTTTGATGAACCTTCCATACTGATTAAGTGAAAAATAAAAAAGAAAAATATAATTGAAGATATTTTGTTGTGAACTCAAATTGGTGAAACAAAGTGTGTGTATTTATACTACTAAAAAAACATGACCTTTTTTTTTAGCCGTTTAATATATAGTCGTTAGTGTCTTGTCTGTTTGGAAAAGTAACCATTTGTTACTTCCAGATTGAAATAGAGTCGTTGGGCTCATGTTATACATTCCAAGATGTTACCCTCATCGTTGGATCTTGATATAATCCAACGGCTGAGATTAACTTCTAGAACCATTTTCCTCTTTATGTCTCTCTCTTTCTCACTCTTTCTGTCTCTCTCTTTCCAATACTCTTGTTGTCTCTCTCTTTCTCACTCTCACTGATCGTCTTTCCCGATTGTCTTTCTTTCTCTCTCCCTCTCTCTGTTTCTCACCGATTGATCGCCTTCCTCTTTCTTTCTCTCTCTCTCTCTCTCTCTCTCTCTCTCTGTGTTTCTCACCGATCATCTTTGTCACGACCTAAACCCGCCCCTATAGGTTTAGCATCATGACCGGCCAGTAATCTGAGATTACCAAAAGCCTGCTTAACAATAATACAATAATAGGGGTTGTGGAAGCCAATAATTAATAAAACATAACGTCCAATGAGTTATGCAGACTTAAATGGAATAAAACAAACCAATATATAAACATATATACATAGTCCATGTCAAGTTCAGGTACACAAAATATAAACATGACTTAGGGATTAAATCACATTAACAAAGTAAAACCAATCATAACAAAAATCTTAAGACTAAACTTTACACTTGATCACAATTTCAAAATGATGAACTCTTAACCACCCAAAAGCCTTAATGCTTGACAGTTTGGAACCCCGCAGTGAGGCACGGTATTTGGCTTGACAAAATAGAGTTTAGGTTGACGCCACTAAGTTCGCTCTTGCACTTGCTCACCTACATACATGTATAAAATAATGAGCTAGAGCCCAGTGAATAACATCAGTGTAAAGAGGTTAAATGAATGAAGTCCATAACTTATAAAATCAAAACAATGTTCTTAACATGATCAAAGTATTTTCTGGATAACTGTAATCAGAAATAAAGTTCCTCAAACCTTTAACCCTTTCATAGTGTAAGACATAGCACGGTACATTTCCAAAAGCTTTATTAAACCTTTGACAAAATTCCATATAGAACGTTTACGCCGAAATAAAGCATTTATCATATATACACATTTAGAATTCATAAAGTTTATCAACCGTTCAGAGTTACTTACGTTCCGGGGTACAATAATACTAAACAAAATATTAGGAAAACGACCACAAAAGATCGAGGGCATAGGCATAACGACCACGATTGATCGACTTAGATATAACAACCACAATGGGTCGAAGTATACATAACGACCACAATGGATCGACATAAGCATAATAGAGATTTCTAAAAATCGAAGCATGTGTTCACGAGTGTTACATTTGTCAATCAAAAGGGAATCTCATTCATTCTAGAAAACATAAGTTGTCGAAAACCCGGTCATATCAGAAGCATTTCAAAATTCCATAGCATAATGTAACATTTCAAAAAATACTTATCACATTGGACATTTCGTAAACAAAACATGGATTTCATAAAACATCATACTGCATAGCCATTTCAAAATGATTTATACAAAAATATCTTTACAAAGACATTACTTACCGTGCTTGGTCAGACAATACTTCTCGTGCAAGTGTCCTATCCAACACATTCAAGCACAACGTCTCTAAACACATTTCATTCATTCAATCGGTTCTTTCGTTACCTGATTGTTTAGTTATTCCTATCCATTCTTTAATTTCTTTCGTGTTCATGATATGCATATGAACTTGAAATACACATGAAAACTATGCAAATGGAGGCCCGAAAGTCAGAGAAAAACAAAAACAAAAACAAAAACAAAAACAAAAACAAATTGAGACTACCCTGCAGACCGCACGTGCGGTAGACCTGGTCGCTCGTGCGATGGATTTGGCCACTCAGCAGAATGTAAAGTGAGGCAAGGGAAGGCTGGCTGCTCGTGTGAGGCCTCAGGTCGCACATGTAGTCTGGGTTGAGTTTTAGCCCGAAAATCTATTTCAAATTTGAAGCTTAACTTTTGCAAACTCATCTTCATTTTCATGCAATTCAGAATCCAAAACTCACAAAAACATGTTAAATGAACAATTTCTAACTTCAAACTAAAACCATGACTTCAAAACAAAACCCAATTTTCCATTTAAAAGATCAAACTCAAGAATTGAAGTATAAAATCATCATTCATGCATACTTGAGTTCCT